TAACGTTTCAGATCGGATGTAAAGACAAGACGTTATTGTCTGATCATATTTTTTAAATAAAAATATATTCAAGTGAATCGTATTTTTTTCTTCTTTTCTCTAATATGTATCATACTACCACAAGAAAATTCCAGTTCCCTGAAAAAGAGAGGATGAAGATAAGAAATCTCTGATTTTTAATGAGTCTTCGTACAAAAAAGTGAGAGTAGCACACTCTGTTCAGCATTTGACGGTCTATTCATATATATTAATTGTGAATACAGCTGAAGATTCAATGCGTTCTGTAAAAGAAAGAGTTTAAGTCTTCTCGTTGTAATTTTATAAAAAGCGAGGTACATTTTATAGAGAAACATTTTGAAAATTAGATGGTATTCGAGTTTCGATCGACTACAAAATGACGATTTTAAGGTTCTCACAGATTTTTAACATTCAAAGTTATCATAGAATAGAAGGTGCGGGTGCAGATATAAATAAGATACACACACACTCTACTGAGTTTTCTCGAATTGATTACTGCTATTCAAATTATGTACTACGCAGAAAATAATATTTTACTGAGCAAAACACACTAAATATGAGATTGAAAAAATAATAAGTATTCTCAATAAAATATTGTGTAAAAATATATGTCTTTTTTAGAAATTAAAATCTATTACTAATAAGAAAGATAACGATACTATGAATACGCTAAAATCAGAGTGAACAGTAGTTCTCTAAAATTAATTGATACAGTGCACATATTTCATTTATTTTTATTTAATCGTATTTATGATGTTTCACGAGTGGTAATATTGATATTTATTAGATTTTCAATAAAAATTAAAACTAACTAACAAAAAAAAGTAAGATAATTAGAAGAATGAAACTAAAATGATTATTGTCTGTTCAAGAAACGTATATACTGATGATTTGAAAATAATACATTTAATAGCAAACAAAACTAAAATAAATGAAAATTTTCTTTCGTTTTTTGTAAGTTAATTGATTACTAAATTACCGTATTTATTTTCTTTGTTATTTATTTTGATAGACTCGCTACATAGTTGCACATGTTGAGAATTTGCTTTTCATTAAATATCCAAGAGAAATGGCTATCCCCATACATTTGAAATAACTGAATATATTCATAATTCACTAGTGTATCAAGATTATTAAATGATGTATTGGTATAGTATGAAGATAATTCTAACTGATCGTTCAATGTTAAGTTTTCATCCATCTTGTTAGCCTTAAATAATATAAGGTTTGTATTTCTGTTGGCTATATTTAATCCAAATGGTTCGTTGTCTATCATCGGTAAATAATAGGTCATTGAATCGTTAACATATACTTTATGTATTTTGCCAATTTCAAAAAAAGCCTTGCTTACATTAAAGCATGAGTCGATCATAAAAATATTATCAACTTTCTCGCCAGCATTAATCAGTTGGCGAGAAATTTCAAACGATAAAGTACCGCCAAAACTCCAGCCTAGAAAGTTATATGGACCATTACGTTGGATTTCTTTTATATACTTTATGTATACAGGAGCTAATGTCTCGAACGAGAAGCCTTCTTCCATATTTTTTGCTTGAAGATCAGCATAGTAGTTATTGAATATTACCAGTTTATATTGCGATAAATGAGGCACAATGTTGTTGAAGTAGCTTTCGGCACCACCATTACCAGGCGGCAAAATGAACAAAATATTATCGCAATTTTCATTGATTACAACAAACGGGTGGTCGAAAAAATTCGAATGAGTAGCAATTTCATGTGAAATTTGGACTTGTTCATCGAGAAAGATGCTCTTCTGAGGAGAAGACGTAATGCCTAGAAGAGAAATCAGTGAGTTTATATATTCGATGGATGTTTCTTGATTTAAAGATGTTTTACCTTGATTGATATGTAGTGATTGCCATCGTGTTGTCTGTGTATCATTGGAGGGAAGTGTTTGAAGTAGTTGTGCATGTTGTCGAATAGTTGGTTGCTGAAGAAAGAGACCAATCGAGAGTGAATGAGCATCGAAATTGAATAATGACTGGTAACGATAATAGAGTTCTATGAAGCGAAGTGAATGACCACCAACACTAAAAAAACTGGTATTTCTAGAGATGTGATTTTTATTACAATGAAGAACTTGACACCAAATAGTATGTATACGTTCTTCGAATTGATTAAGAGGAGTATCAGATTCATCAGACGATAACAAAGTCGATAATGAAAAGTCGGGAGAAGGAAGTTGTTTTCGATCTACTTTTCCATTTGGATTCAATGGTAATTTATCAAGTATAATAAAAAGAGATGGAATCATATGTGGTGGAAGATGAGCCTGACAGTGCTGCCGTAATTGTTCTTCATTAATATGAGATGATTGAATATAAGCAACTAAGTAATCATCATTCCATTTCATGACAACACAAGCAGAGATGGATGTAATGTTAAGTAAGCATCTTTCGATTTCACCAAGTTCGATTCGTTGTCCATGTAGTTTGATTTGATGATCTTTTCTTCCTCGATAATGAAGAAGACCATTGTCATCCATGTGAACAAGATCACCCACACGATAGAATAATTCGCCATCAATTTCAATGAGTACTTTAGAGGTTAAATTGTCATGTCCAAGATATCCAACAAAGACACCAACACCTCCAGTAAATAATTCTCCTTTTTGCCTAATAGATGTACTTTGCAAGAATTTATTTAAGAGCAATGATTGATAGTTTGGTAGTGATCTACCGACTGAAATGCTTGCATTGCTGGATTTAATATCAACAAGATGATATGTAGAGACGAGTGTTGTTTCAGTAGAACCATAAAGATTCCATACAGTACAGTGTGGTATACCAATCTTTGCGATTAAAGTCCTAAATTTAACAGAAAATGGTTCACCTATAAAAAAAATTAGAAAGCTGCAGAATATATTGAAGTTCATCACTTAATTACATACCAGCACAGCAAATTGATCGGAGATGTTTAATAGTGTTTGTCTTATCGCACTGTTCGAGAAAAATAAAAAAGCTCTGAAGTAAACTTGGAACACTTTGCATGTATGTAACTTCTTTAGTGTATAAGATGTGAGAAAGATAATCAAAATCAACTGTTCCTTTTGGATGAAGCAGAACCACTGTAACTCCAATCATCAAACTACCAAGTATTTCTTGAAGCTGAAGGTCAAACGAGCATTGCGCCATTTGAACAACAGTATCATGTTTATTTAGTGTATTGCTGTCAACCAAAGAGTATATACATCCAGCAAAATTTATGTGTCGTACTTGAACCTATTCGAGTATATAGAAATGGAAATACAGATAAGAGCGCAAATCTCAACATACCGCTTTTGGTACTCCTGTTGAACCACTTGTGAAAATGATATAAGCAATATCACTTGGTGTGACTGTAATACTTGATAGTCGATCAACATCAATATCACTTGTGACATCATTGTATGTCAATATTGAACCAATATCAAATGAAACAATACCATCATTGAACATACTCGTTGTCGGCCAGTGAACAAGAACAAGACGACTTTGAGTTTGTTGTATGAGAGCATGTAATCGATGTTTTGGATCTCGAGGTGATAATGGACAATATACACCACCTGCCATTTCAATCGCCATCATGCCAATAACCTATACAATATGAAAATGTGAATCACACTCTACATCAATCTCAAACAACAACTCACCATCGACATACTCCTTTCGACACATTGACAAATGATTTCACCTGGAACAACATCATATTTATTAAGAAGAATGAAAGATAAGACTTGGACATAATGTAGAAGTTCAATATATGTCAATGATTGTTCATCTAATTCAACAGCTAGTTTTTGTGGATGTTTCATTACTTGATATACAAATTCATGATGAATACTTGTGAGAGGAGATGGAAACGATACTTGTGTATTATTCATTGATTGCATCAATAATCTTTCATTTGGTAATGTTAATGATATTTCATAGATTGATTTATTCATTTGATTATCAATAGATATAAATAATTGTTTCAAAGTTGATTGAAATCGTTGAGATATCTTATCAATTGTTTCTACATTGAATAAATCAAGTGATGCATTGATTGTACATGAGAGTTGATTGATATTAAGATCATGCTCGATTAGAAGTGAGAAATTATACTTATTTGTAATCTCATTATCATTAATGTTAATTGTGGAAGGTATGGAAGAAAGTTGACTATCACCAATCATTATTTTATTCTTCTCATCTTTTGTCATTGATGATATAAACTCAAATGATATATCAAGAAATGCTGGTTTTGAAACATTTGGATGTTGACTGAGAATACGTTGAAGAGGAAAGTAAGAATAATTTAAACTCTTTGTTGTTGTCTCTTCTACGTGCTCAAGTAGTTGGTGGAAAGACCAATGAGGATCTAGTTGATATCGTAATGGAATGATATTCTCAAACAGTCCAATGATAGATTTTAGTTCATCTCTATAACGATTGTCGATATTCATTGCAATACATAAACCTTTTTCACCATTCGTTAATTTAAATAAGAAGATAAAGTAAGTAGCAAGTGCAAGATGTTCATGTTTGATATTGTTTGATTTTGCATACATAAGAAAATCATGGGAAAGATCTTGACCAAAATCAAATGAGATAGATGTTGCTCGATTATATCGATGTTCATTTGAGAGACGATATCGATCATATGGTAATGATAAAGTTTGATCGAGTTTACAATCATGAAGGGCATCAAGCCAAAACATAGTTGCGCCAGTCATTGACATTTGTTGTTCAATAACAGCATCTAAATAAGAAGAAAGAAAAAGTAGTCTGAATAGAACAAAGAATTGAATATACGTACAATCGATATAACGTAGAGTAGTATCATTATCAATCGTTAGCTGACCTGTTTTGTAAGCTTGATCAAGATCATGGAGAAAGATATTCATTGATGGATAATCAAACAAAGCATGATGAAAATTGAAGATAATTATATCTTTATCGGAAAGGATGTTGTTTGAAGGGATTTGTTTATAGTAAATAATATGACATCGAAAGACAAGACCTTGCGTGAGATCGAAAAGTTGAGGATTACATTTCTCATTTTCGATGATAGCATTGAGTTGTTCATTTGTTTCATAAGTACTTTCAGTAATTGTAAACGTGTCATTATTGATATGTTGTTGAGTGAGTACTCTCTGGATGAGTAGGTTTTTGTTACAATCGTAGATGAGTGATGTATGAAGTGATTCATGTTTGTTAACAATGATTTGAAGGGCAACACGAAGTTGTTCTACAGATAAAATATCTTTTGAGTGGAGACGATAGAAAAATAGTATGTTATGTATCGTTAACAATGATTGATCAGTATCCGCATCTCTTTGATTTTCGTACCATATTTGATATTGTGCGAAGGATGCTGGTGCTATAAAAATTAAAGTTTAGTTGGTTACAGTGAGTAATTATGATAATCAGTTGCCAGGGGTGGCGCGACCGGGGGGTATCGGGGGTGTAACACCCCCCAATCTTTGAAAATTTCTATTTTTTGCTCAACAAAATCGGCAAATTTTCTTAAGTTTTTGAACAAAGATTATGCTACACCCCCGTAAAAATCAAAAAAATTCCACTACGCCCCACAAAAATTAAAAAATTTTTCGTTACACCCCCCAATGTTGGCTGACTCGCGCCACCCCTGCCACTTGCTCTCTCGTAATATTATTGACGCTTTAGTTTATCTATTTTTTAACGGAATTCGATCAATATTGTTGCCAGTTGTACAAGTCAATAATGTCATATATACAGATATAATTTATCCGGATATACATCTAAATTTACGACAAAAGTACTACTATTGTTTATCATCAACTTTTAGTAATGAAGTTTACAAAAAATAGAGGAATATTTTCAAAGCAAAAGAAGCTTTTTACTTATATCATATTATCTCATTTCAGTGTATTCATTAGTATATATCCGATTGTGTGTGATACATGTAATATAAATGATGTTTTAGATTAGAAAATTTTACTTTGGAAAGAAAAACATTGTACAGAAAATTCAAGAGGGTAACGTGAGATCTGAAAATGAACTAGCCTTAGTGGCGGAGCCACCAGTGGGGCTAGGCGGGGCTAAGCCCCACCTAGAAAGGGTTGAGCCCTACCTAGGAAGTTTTGAAACGTTTTTCTGAAATAGAACTTTCAACGGTACTTTTCTATTTAATTATATTATGAAAGATAAAAGTTTTTCTGCCTTTTCTACTATATAAAGAAGTATATCTAGCTATATTTAATTTTTGCATAGATAATCTAATGCAAGATTTTCTATTTGTCAATTTAGATCACTATATCTTCTGAGCGTATCAGTGTCACTAATGCAACGGTTGCTTGTTACTTAGAGCTGTAAAAAAGAATTTAGTCTACGATATCTCATGCCAAATACTAGCGCTGGTAGTAGCATGCACGAACCAAAAAGGGTTAAAAGTATTGTTAAGTGCGACCCTTGTGTATCTGATTTGTTCCTGTTCTCTCCTTCTTCTGTTCTGCTAAGGTACATAAATAACACGTTGAATGAACATATATCTCTTTTCTTTCCTTCGTTTTAAGGTATTTTCCACACGTTTCTCTTCCCTTGTTATAGTTTACGTATTTTTTCTTTTCGTCTGTTTTATTTTAAGGTATCACCGTTTTTTTTTCTATTTCATTCAGGTATATATAGATCTCATCTGAAATAAACATTAAAATTTAATATCCATCAGTTAAATGAACCTCCCTATGACAAGTATAAGTTCTTCTTCTGAAAATTAAACTAAAAGCCTACGAATTTTATCTTATTACCGCTGTACTCACAAGCCCAAGATTTACATGGATACATAAAAAAATATTAAACTATTTATTAATACATCTGTCTCTGACTCAACTATTCATCACGCGGCATTTTCAGCTTCATCTCCATCTCCCTCTTAATTTATAGAGGATGTTACTGTGACTCTTGTTCCGTTGAACAAACTGTCACCTCTATTTCAAACTCAAATAGAGAAAAATACAATTGATATCCTTCTTTCACGTTAGCTGTTCCCTGTCAAATATTGAGCTAAATCAATCCCGAACGGTATCGGTGCTTCTGGTAATGGATCTCTGATATATTCTCAATTGTGGAGATACCTAACGAACTATCAAATTCATAGTCGTCACTTTCAGCAGTATTGAAACCGCCCCTGATTAGATTACCACTGTCAAGTGAAACTCCGTATCGTCTGAGTTTTTCTATTTACTTTTTGATCTGAAGTATTATTAACTAAAGCTACTTTACTTGTTTTAAACATTTACATTATCTCTGAGGTAATAAAAAATATTTTAGCTCTACTCCAGATCGAACTGCGAAAAACTGATGGGCTGAGCCCCACCTAGCACGAAATCCTGGCTCCGCCGCTAACTAGCCTTTCACGTGAACTTACCACCACGCATAAATTAAAGAGAGTTAGATTATATACATTACAAAAAAAATGAAATAAAAGGCAGGAGACGAGTGATTTTTCAACTTAATGCTGTCTATATGATGTTACTGCCGTATTAACCATGAAAACCTCTGTACGTTTTCATTTCAATCAAAAATAAAAGATCCTGCAGCAAGTACAATAAAATATGAAAACATAGTTCGCCTGAATCCATTCTTAAGGTTAATCGTTCTAACTGATATAAATGCTATATGCATAAAAAAAACTAAAAACTAAGCATACCTTCATTAATAATATTATCCAACCTATGGAAGATTATTGCTTGTCTTTCTTCAACTTCTTCTGGTAGAATAAGATCAAGTTTTGATATAGATGTGCAATATAAATCCATGCAATTTGTGCTTGATTTTGACGAAAAAAGATGTTCTAAAACATGTTGAAATCTTCGACCTATTACCGCAACTGTTGCTCCATGAAATAAATCACTTGAACAAACAAAAGAGCAAGACAATTGATGATCATCTAATGATGGATCGTATATAAGGTTTAATGAAAAGTCAAACTTAGCCATTTCATATGATTCTTGTAGCGAAACTTGTTCTAGACTGACGCCATTCAAACATAAACCACTAACTTCTTTTGAGATAGTAATGAAATCAAACATTGTCTCCAGAAATGATACATTTGATTGAGTGAGATGTAGATCACTAAGAATATGTTGTAATGGATAATGAGAATGTTCAAGAATTGATAAACATTTTTCTTGTACATATTTAACTACTTCATTAAATGACCAATGAGGACCAAGTTCAACACGATGTGGTAATGTTGATACAAACATTCCAATCATATTCACTAGTTCACTTCGGTATCGATTTGCATTGATAGAAGAAATACATAGATCAGTCTCACCGTGAGTTAATTTGAATAGGAAGAGATAAAATATGGATAATCCAAGTTGAAAGAGTGTGAGATGATGTGCTGATGCATAGGTGAGAAATGATCTACATATTTCATCATCAAAAGTGATTTGAGCTGAAGAAGCTAAACCTGATCGTTGTTGATTAATTGATGAACGTTGTCGGTCAGCAGGTAACGATAACTGACGTGTGAGATTATATCCTTTGAGTTCTAGTATCCAAAACTGTTGAGATAATGTCATATCCATTATGTGTTCATAAATAGAATAATCTATATATTGGAATGAATTATCATCTATAGGAAGCAAATCAATGGATTGATATGCAAGAGAAAGATCACGAATGAAGATTGTTGTCGATGCTCCATCAAACATTGCATGATGAATGGTAAACAGTATTCGATCATCTTTAGTCAATAGATCATTATTCTGAGTGAGTGAATGATTTGACTGATCACGACGAAGAATATGACAATTAATAACATGTCCTTTTGATAAATCAAATAAATCTGATTGATTTAAAATCTTCTTTACAATTTCATTCTGTTCATGTTCTTCAGTAGGAAGATTAAGTATCGAAAATCTGGATGATTTCTTATCACTGATACTAGCATTTGTATCTAAATAGTGTTGCATAATAGTACCATTTGTGTCGAGATAGAGTGCTGTTCGAAGAATTTTATGTTTTCTTATGATAGATTGAAATGCATGTTGTAATTGTGAAATAGATATACGATCATTCATAGATGATATTCGATAAATTAATGGAATAACATACATGTTGTTAGTACTAATATGTGTTGACGAAAATCGAATTTGTTCATCTAAGAAAATGCGTTCTTGAGCAAGTGATGCTTTAGCTATAAAAGAGAAATCAAATATAGTTAATAGAATATTCTTAAACTGTTTATGTTACCTTTCATGATATATAATGAAGACCAATGATAGTCATTGATATTCTTCGTCACACTCATAGTTTGATGAATGAGTCGAGCATGATCGATAATTGTTGGATGTTGAAAAAGAACAGTAATAGAAAGAGTATTTGATTCCAGATGAAAATGTATTTTATATTGATGAAAGAGTTGCATAATGACAAGTGAATGACCACCAAGAGTGAAGATATTTGTGTTAGTTGAGATTTGTTTTTGTTTTAATAAATCGCACCAAATTTGATGAATGATGATTTCATTCTCATTCATTGGTAACAACAGTTCATCATGATTAGTGAGATGCGCTGATGAAAAGTTAGGTGGTGGAAGAAGTTTTCGATCTATTTTTCCATTTGGATTCAAGGGTAGTTTATCCAGAGTAATGAATAATGATGGAATCATATGTGGTGGAAGATGAGATTGGCAATGTTCTCGTAGTTGGACTTCATTAGTATCAGAACTTTGAACATATGCAACTAAATAATCATCATTCCATTTCATGACAACACAAGCAGAAATAGAAGTAATGTTAAGTAAACATCGTTCGATCTCACCAAGTTCAATTCTTTGTCCATGAAGTTTGATTTGATGATCTTTTCTTCCTTGATAATGAAGAAGACCATTGTTATCCATTGTAACAAGATCACCTGTTTGATAAAATAGTTGACCATCTATTTCAATGAGAGCTTTTGCAGTTAAATCATCACGTCCAAGATAACCAGCAAAGACACCCACTCCTCCCACTAGTAGTTCTCCTTCTTCCTGAATCACAACAGATTGCAAGAAGCTGTTTAGAAGTAAACATATGTAACGAGGTAGTGGTTTGCCAATTGGAAGATCATGCATGTGAGTGGTCACATCAATTAGGTGACACGAAGTTCCAAGTGTGGCTTCCGCAGGGCCATACAGATTCCAAATTCGACAAGACTGGGCAACAAATTGCATCAATACTTTGATGAAAGCTAATGACACAGATTCACCTACGATGACAAGTTAATCAGTATTTATTCTATTTCGCATGCGCTTGCTCAACTTACCGACGCAGCTAATATTTCTTATTAGTATCCATGGAGAAAATCTATTTTGTTTAAGGAAGTCACATAAATGATTGAGATAAGTCGGAACCGCGGTCAGATATGTCACTTGTTTGTCATGTAAAATATGATTGATATATTGAAAATCCATATTACCTTGTGGGTGTAGCATGACTATTGTCGCACCGCAGATTAGAGATCCTACAGTTTCCAGTATATGCGCGTCGAAGGTTGAACTAGCTATTTGAATCGTAACATCATCTTCATGTAGTGCATCAATCCGAACGAAACCTAATATTGAATTGATGAGATTCTGCTGTCTCAGTTGAACCTAGAAAACAACTTTTAGTGTCAAATATACATTATGTGATAATCTTTCTATCGTACCGCTTTCGGAATTCCAGTTGAACCACTAGTAAAAAGAGTATAGGCTATTTCTTCACCTTTCATTATCACACTTGAAAGACAATTATAATCCATGTCATTATTCAAATCATTAATAACTAATATGGAATCAATATCAAGTGATATAATTTCAGCATCGAATTTGGTCTTAGTTAGATGATGGACAAGAACAAGATGACTTTGTGTTTGTTGTGTGAGTGCATATAAACGATGTTGTGGATCTCGAGGTGATAATGGACAATAAACACCACCAGCCATTTCAAGCGCCATTATACCAATCACCTAGTTCAAACGAACATTTTTTATTTTAAACAATTATTTCTTCATGGAACTTACCATGGACAAACTTCGCTCAACACATTGACACACGATCTCACCTGGAAACACATCATATTCATTAAGAAGAGGTAAAGATAAAACTTGAACATAATACAAGAGTTCAGAATATGTCAATGATTGTTCATCTAGTTCAACGGCTAGTTTCTGTGGATGTTTCATTACTTGATTCACAAATTCATGATGGATACAAGTGAAAGGAGATGAAAATGGTATTTGTGTATTATTCAACGATTGTAAAAGTAATTGTTCCGTCGGTAATGCTAATTGTACTTCATGGATTGGTTTGTTTATTTGACTATGAAAAGGTGTGAATTGTTGATGTAACATTGTCCGTAATCTTTGTGTAATTGTACAAATTGTTTCAGCATTAAATAAATCAACGGAAGCATTAATGGTACATGAGAATTCATTTAGATTCAGATCATGTTGAAAACTAAGAATAAAATCAAATTTACTCATTATTTCATCTTCACTAATCTTAATTGAAAAAGGTAGTAAAGATAGTCGACTATCACCAATCATTATTTCATTCTCCTCATCTCTTTTCATGGATGATACAAAGTCAAACGATGTATCAAGAAATACAGGATTTGATATATTTGGATGTTGATTGAGAATACGTTGAAGAGGAAAATAAGAATACTTAATACAGTTTATCATGTTATGTTGAACGTGTTTTGTGACTTCGTGAAATGACAAATGAGGATCGAGTTGACATCGCAGAGGTATCGCATTCACAAACATTCCAATAATAGGGTTAAGTTCATCTCTATATCGACCAAGTGTATTTATTCCAATGCATAAATCTTTTTCTCCATTGGTTAATTTGAACAAAAACACATAGTAAGTGGCAAGTGCAAGTTGTTCCAGTGATATGTTATTTGATGATGCATATGTAAGAAAGTGATGTGAGAGATCTTGACCAAAATCAAACGAAATGGATGTTCCACGACCAGTTCGATGTTCATTTGAGAGACGATATCGATCAAATGGTAATGATAAAGACTTATCGAGTTTATAATCATGAAGAGCATCAAGCCAAAACATGCTTGCGCCAGTCATTGACATTTGTTGTTCAATAACAGCATCTATTATGTAATTAAAGAAAAGAATGCGTTAGGGAAAAGACAAAAATATAAGAACTAATTATATTTACAATCAAGATAACGAAGATTAGTACTATCATCATATAGTAATTGACCTGTTGTATATGCTTGATTGAGGTCGTGAAGAAATATATTCATCGATGGAAAATCAAACAAAGCATGATGAACATTTAAAATGACCATATCCTGATCAGAAAGTATATGATTTGAAGAGATTTGTTTGTAATAAATAATATGACATCGAAACACAAGACCTTTTGCAAGATCAAAAAGATGAGGATTACGTTTCTCATCGTGTAAAATGTCATTGAGTTGTTCATCTGTTTCATTAATAGTTTCGATGATTGAAAACATATTATTATTTTTTTTATTATTCTCATGAGTAAGAACTCTTTGCATGAGTAGATTCTTGTCGATGTCAAAATGAAGTGATGTATGAAGTGAAGGATGTTTTCTAACAGCAAGATAAAGAGCATGACGAAGTTGTTGAATCGATAAAATATGACCCGATTGGAGACGATAAACAAAAGGCATATTATAGATGGCTACTTGTGGTTTGTCGGGATCGAATCGAATTCTTTCGTCGAGCCAAATACGAGCTTGTGCAAATGATGCTGGTGCTGGAATAATGAGAACTTAGTGAATTTTAATATGAAAGCTGGGTTGCCAAATGATGTTTGATAATTATATTCTAGTCACTTTTCATATAATCGCTTCTCTAACTGAGCAGAATCTTGTATTAAGAGTGTTGGCTGGTTATTTTCTGTTAGCAGCAATAAAAGCTAATTTAATACCTCACAATGAAAAACCTGACATCGTGTGACACCGGATCCTTCTTCAAAAATCGGGATATATTATTAGCCTTCATAAAATCCGATAGAATGGTTTTGACCTGAGACTTTTTATGCGCATTATTAATACTGTATGATAGTTTTATATTAATGTTTATATAAGAAACGCGATACTTTAGTACTCTTATTAAACTGGTATTAATATAACGCATGTACTAACGGCTCTCTCAAAAAAAGAAGTAAGATTGTTCACTGTTGGAAACTCATCGTTTAGAAATAAAACAGAATTGCTTTTTATGAAAGTCGACAGCATTTTCGTTATGCTAATACAAATTCAATGTGAATGCCGAACTGTTTTTTTTACTATTAACATGGAAAAACCATGTAATTTTGTAAAATTCTAAGAGATAGTGTAAGTATTTTCCTGATGAATACTTACGTGACAGTTTCAGTTAATATTATTCCTAGTTCAATACTAATCTTTCTTATTCACTGAGTAGTTTTAAGTTATATCTCTAGTTCATTCAAATATACTCAAATATTTGATAAATTTGTCTATGACGATATGACATTTTTATTTATCTATCCATTTTGTCTTCTCTTTTTCTTCCTTTTGTATTTCTCTTCGTCGTATATATATTTGAATCTGTTTGTGTTGTCAAGGTTTTTAATTTAAATGGATGAATAGAAGCTGGTGTACTCTGTAATAGAAACCATCTTTGTTTTGGAAGTCCAAATTCTAGTGCAAAGAGAAAGTAACACTACGAGAAATTTTTCCGCATACTTTGAATTTGATTACTGAAAAAGAAGAATGATGTTGGAAAAAACAGAGAACTTCGAGACCCCGGACAAATGAAAAAAGCTCTGCGAACACTATCATTTGATTTCATGCTTTTATTGTTCGTATGCTACAAATTCATCGTTGTGATCATGCATATAAGTTACAACTAGTTGTCAATTGATACAATAATCATGCTAAGCAAGACAACGAAAGAAAACTTAGCACACTATCCTTGTTACCCCATAAAATACTCTGATATTGTATTTTACAAAACAAATAAAGGCACAACATGTAATTAGGTTTACCAATAAAAGAGAGAATGCGAGTGTCTTTTCTTCACCAAAACTTAAAAACAAACACGCTTTTGCAGCAAAAGTAGGATAAAAACACTTTTTAGTAGAAATATCCCTGACAAATTCGAGTTTGGTATTGTTTATTTAGTTATTCCCAAAAAGTCCTACAAGACACTTACTATCGCTAAAATACAGGCTTTCTGCAGAATTTTTAGCCCTTTTCAGCAGAACTTCTAATAGAAAAATAGTCTCAAAATTGTACAAAATTTTAATAAAAATAATGATGTAAAACTGTCACGGAGTATGTCAAGAAATGCTTTTACATTTGAAATTGCAATGCTTGTTTGAATGATCGCGTAGTAATTTATTTTGATTAAGACAAAATATTTACAAAAACCATTTTAGTTTATAATTATGAAGTTGTTACTCTCTCAACGATAAAAACTATCGATTATCTTGTTTTTTAGATAGAATTTTCACCATATTGAATAATTTGATCTGAAACTTTGCAAACATAGTTATTATAACTTTCCATGATTTCACGCAATATTTAGGTACTATTTCTCTTCATCTAGTACAGGTGCCACAATTGCACTATATATATGAGATTTATTATTAGACTTTGTCGTAACTATGATGAGGATTAGTGAGCTTGAAAGTAGACTTGAGAATAGTGATTCTAATGACTGTTTTCTTTTGATATTTTCTCTTGGCTCTATAGTTAATGCAGACATAAAATCGATTGTTTCATAAAATTAGGAATTACTGAGAAACAGTGTCTCGTGACTCTCAGAATATATTACGCTTTTAATCAAGTATTATTTTCAAAAAAAAGATTTCAGTAATCACTATCTTCAAGTGTTCTTTCATAAATAAGAGGTTTGGCCTGGTTTTTAAATTCAACGGGCCTTATTACAGACACAAAACGCTCTAATGATAAATCTCACATGTATAGTGGAATTGTCATGCATATATTTGATGGAGAGAAATAGTACTAATATTTTAGTTAATATGAGGAGAAGATACCACTACTATGTTTAGAAAAGTGCAATTCGATATCGACTGACATGGCAAAAATCATATTTCGACAAGAAGATAATCAATAGTTTTTGTTGTTGAAGTAAAGGAAGAAAGCTCTATACAACTTGTTGATGGATTCAATTACGAGATTATGCGATATTAGATTGATGACAAGAGAAGTAGACATTGTAAATATTTACCAGCATTTGAAATCGGATTATCTAGTTAAGTTTGAGTATGTTATTTTCAAATAAAAAAAGAGTAGAACTTTTCGAAAACGACGAAACCTATGTCTTCTATATTCCATATTGATTAAATAGTTTCTAGAATCATATCTAACAATTAGCATAAAATGTTTGTATTCAACTATATATTTTGTATCTTTTCTTCCGATATATAGTAAAAAATAATATCTTTCAATCGATACTTCCACCGCGAATTGCCCACGTAAATGAACAAACGCTAAAGGCGTGTTTTGATATATTAGAGGTAGAAATAGAAGAAGACAACGCTTTATAATGCGTTCATTTTACCAAAGAAACAAAGGGTTTCAAAGCGTTTTAACGTATAATATAGCGGAACTGAATGATTAGACTTATTTTAATAACGAGATCAGACAATCAGTAATGACAAATGCAATAGCGTGTTTGATGTACTATCTCAGAATAGAAAAATGCATTTTGAAATAAAGAGACTTAGAGTGTGCATATTAAAAATAGATGTAAATGCATATTTCGCCTTAACTATTCAAAATGGATAAAATATATCGTAATATTTTCAATCAACAGAGCGAAAAAGCAGTAATATAATCGATAGATTTAAAAGAAAACTATATGAAGGATGTGGTTGAAAAGAATTCCTTCGCCCATTTACAGTAATTGAAGTAGTCTTGCATTAATAAGTAAAAACCATAATTGATTTCAAATATTTGAGTATCCAGAAAGACATTTTCTGTTGAAATGGCCGTCAACCATGCAAATATTCGTATCTATTATTTCATCATATTTACCGAAACTATATTAGCTAAGTGTCTGTAGTAGCTATCGCTTATGTATATATGTGCTTCAATTGGTTATCGTCAACACTATTCTGTCTCACTTTGTCTCATCTTCTTAATTTATAGTATTATTTAATGACGATATCGTTCATGTCTTTAACTTATCATTGAAGAGGCTCGCAAAATGATGGAAAAACTATGCAATATTTTCGTCATATCGTCGAATACGAATAGTTATCTTAAAAACAGATGAGCACTCCATCTATTGAATTCAATCTGTTATTTATACGTGTGCTCTAGATTTTTTAGCAGTATTTTTATAAGAACTTGTTCGAAAACATCAGAATATGTTTGAAATTTATAAGAAGAAAATTTACTGTTCTTTTTTCGTGTTGAATTTAATTCTACTGATTGTTTATTGGAAAAATCTTTGTGTGACTTAGGTTTTAGTGATATCGTGTTTTTTATCCTCTGAATAATTGCTTAGCTTAGGGGACTTCAAAACCACTGACAGAATATTCGAAAACAGCACTCATTACGATATTTTGATATAAAATGTCAAAGAAATTGGAACTTAATATTTCAGCAAAAACAATAACTTTGCAGTCCATCAGTATTATCTGATATAGTTGAATTCTCTCCCAAAATACATTATAGATTGGTAATATATTTACAAGAAAATGATGTTTCATCTTTCAACAAGACTTTTCAAACTGATATAAGTATTAATCATAGAAATTTAAAACAGTGAGAGAAGAAAATAACTTACGTATCCATTTCTTGCCATCTTACCTTACTCAAATAGTCTCTCGCCTTTTTTCCTAATGATTTGACATTAGTCATTAAAAGATCTCTCGAACTTAAATTATTTGAAAACATATTATTTTTAGAGTGGCAAGCAAAATCAGTATTAATAAACTTAGAAAAGTTTATTGATGACTATATATATTGCCGGTGAGTACAGCCAAAACAAAACCTATGATCATCTAAAGCGCGGTAGTAGTTTCTAAGCCAAAAATAGAATATAAAGGAACTCTAATAGAATATGTGAAATCGTTCAAATTTTTTAGGAGTAGAAATCAGTACTAAACTTGGCTTGGATAATTTCATTAACATTAGGTTTAAAAAAATTAGAATTGTTTTAATGGGTTAAAAAAATTGTTTCGCACTATACTAATGAAGGAAATAAAAATGCGTAAGAAACTATTTTCTGCATACGCTCTATCGCACTTTTTCTGGTTATTTACCACTGAATTCTTTTATACAGAAAGACAACATGCAATAATAGAACATACTTACTGCTCAGCTATAAGGTTAATATACAATTTATCAAGATAGGATGATTATACTACCCTTGCATCAACGAGAGAAATAGCATCGAATGATTATATCTTAAACGATTGGATAAAAGTTATGAAACACTTAGAAGAATCCCATGAAGCAGTAGATTTCCAACAAACTACTAATTCGTATTTTATTGCTACTTTCGAGACGAAAATTCTCTATAAAAGTTGTGGTTTCAGAAAAAATGCAGAGTTTCTCAATAGATTAGCTGAAAGAGCACGAAGTGGGATTATCTAACCTATCTGTATATTCAAGAGCAACAGTTTCAAATTTTCAAAAAATCTTCTAGGGTTCTAGTATGGGCAATTCTTAAATATTTTGACCTTTCTTCTTAATTCTATAACTGTCACAATAAATTAATAAATTAAAAATATATATGACGCATATAAATAACTACCGCAACTGTAATCATTATCTTTTATTTGTTCATTAGTACACTTTCTTACGACCTCTTTCTTTCTTTTTTCTTACCTTCTACCTTTTTCCTTATCATATGCTTATTTCTATTCTTATTTTTATTGTTATGTTAAATACTATTGCAACAGTCATCTTGTTAACGTACTATAGAAACAATAAACCCCTCAATATTAAAAAAAGAGAAAAAAATAACTAACTATATTTTTAGATTAATTTAATGATGATAGGGGAAAGAAGACGGTAATACTAATGACTGGACTAGTTGGATTCTTTCCTAAAGCATTATCAGATTATATTAAATATATGCAGACTGTCTAATTTTGTTCTCTCATTGTATCCTGTCTCTATGATCAATTTTTATGCGAGTTTAAAATACTTTTCTTCGCAGACAAGACGTCGTAACTTATAAACGAGTTATCAATTTAAATAGATTGTGGAAGAATATATAACTTTGTCAAAATTATGAATAAACTTTCTGTTGACACATGAATCCATTAACAAAAGTTGATAGTTATATCTAAATATTGTCAATAACTCTTGCTATTAAAGGGAGTCGATTTGAGAAATTCATGAGATATTAAAGTTATTCTGATCGAGGAGATTCTATAAAAATGAAATCATTATTTAGTTCCTCAACTCCTTTTAGTCTACTTACTTCTTTTAGTTTCTTTAGTCTTTTTATCGCTCTTAATCTTTATTTTGAGAGGATAGCATGAATGTTGCTTACAATCCACCTCTTAAGACTCTTCTCCTCAAGAATAAAAGGATTGAAAGAAATAAAAACACCAGAAGATTCTAATAGAATAAAAGAACTAAAAAGACTGAAACATAATGTTAGTTTTTCGCGAATTGTTTAAACAGAATAAGTTTAATTTATTATGGATCTATGAATATATGGATTATCGTAGTGTTCCCTTCCTATAAATATTCGTAGGTAATTGTAGTAGATTGATAAAATCCTTAGATATCCACAAAAATAGCCCAGTTTCAATTTAATCTTCAAGTTAAGCTTATTTGACAAGAGAAGGTTCATAAGTGACAATTCGGCTTTGAGTTCGAAGTCTGTGTATATAGTAGATCTCAGTGGGCTTTGAAAAATTCCAAAAGAATAAGTGCCTCTAGACTTTCTACCTACAACTCTCGATATAAGGTCTAAGAACACTTATCCTTTATAGAATATTCCATACCTTACTGAAATCTACTTTATGCGCAGAGTATGAGTTCAAAAGTGATTTATCACTTAGGGATCTTTCTTCGTGAGTAGTCTTTAAGGGTTCTATACTAAAACTGTTGAGGATTTTTATAGAAGCAATAATTAGACCTTGGTGTAATAAACTTGTGAGCTGAATAAAATGGTAGCAGGATACAGCTGTTAAAATATTTTTGTATAAACTTATTTCGGATAGACACAAATGTTCGAATCTGAGCGTTATTACGCGTTCATATGAGAAATATGTTTAAACGCTTCGCGTCTTAGTTATCACGAGAAATGAAGATGTAAAAAAGAATGTGATTGTTAAAACGCGAAAATTCGGATATTTCTGGATGTGTATAATCCGTTCAGAGACAGAACATACAATGCTTGTTATAATGCGTCAATTTGACTATTCTGACTCTCTGGATGATGCATCCTTTGGCACAACGTTTTCTTTCTAGCAGATGTTTTATCGCTCTTATTATGAAATAATTGACAGAAGTATCTGGACAATGTTACTCGTTTCAAAGAAATCTTCTTTTCTTATATGATTTCCATCTAATGTTATAAAACTAAGTTGAACCGTACTGTTACGTTTTCTTCTGAGTTCATCATCTTATTTTACCAAACTTCAATCCTTTAGTCCGTAGAAAAATATATAGGGATACGTATTCTCCCAAAGTTCTAACTGTGACAGAATAATTCATTTCATTAACTAAATTAAATGGCTAAAATGTAAACTGTTGAAATTTCATTAATACTACTATTGAATGATATGTGAGTAATCGTCCATATTCAAAGAAGAATGGCTTTCGTCAGAATTTTCTTGAAAACGATGCAATTACTATTAAATATTTGCATTATTCTCACAAAAAATCGATTTGAAAAATGAACGTTCAACTATTCATAGGCACGATAGAAATACGAATTTGTTTTTATCTAAGAGCAATCTATTCTCATCTTGTCTCAATTAATTCAAACACGGAGAAATGCATAATTGACATATACTCTTGTGTTTTAGGCTTGCAACACATTATACTAAAGTCCTAAATAGATTAAACAGATTAAAACTAGTTTGTTTATATAAAAATCAGTTTTTGAAATGTTTTATTGGTTAATTCATTTCGCATCGGTATAGTGTATCTGAGATCCTATACATCAGCATAATTCTTTGTCAAATATAAAAAAGATCATCGACCAATAAAAAATGATCCATGAAAACGTATATATAAAAATCCCTTAAGTCACCAAACAGTATTTCAATATACTTAACCCTTTACCCCCTGGTGGGTCATTTTTGGCCCATTTGTAAAAAATTTTTTAGAAAATAAAGGACGCATGATACTCGAAAACTCCCAAAACAATATTTGTAGGGAACTCCATAAGCTATCGATTGGCGAAAAGAATATTTTGTTTTGTTGCTCAGTCTCCGAGATATATGACTTTCAAAATCGATAATTTCGAAAAAATGTGAAAAAAATGAATTTTGTTTTTAAATCATTTTTCTACCTCCAAGGAATATATATCTCGGCGGCATGCTGTGTGATTTACATCGAGGAAAGGGTCCACTAGTAGATTATATAGGTTTCAGAAATTTGAAAAGAATTAGGTAGGTAAGATATGTTAAAGCAGATAATGGTCACTCGAGGATTTCAGAAAATCAACACTTTAGGTTCTCGACGTCCACAACTCGATAATAACGTTTTGTTTGAACCATGTAATATTATAGAGTGGACAATTCTCTACAAAATAAGACGTCTCCGAGCTCTCTAAGATGTTTTTTTGCCGAACTACATGAGGATTACGGAAAGTCCCTGAGATTTTTTTCAAGTCGATCCCCCTACCCCCCCTCAGCAAAGTACCGTAAAACTCAAGTCTGTGTTTGATCGATCTGTCCATACTTTTAGCATATTGGAGGCACCAATACTCTATTCCAATCGTTGTTTCATCAGTAGCTCTTCTAGAACGGTTTCAGGGGGTAAAGGGTTAAAATACATATAAGATTACATGATGAAATCGCTGTAGTTATTATATGAAAATTTATTTTTAAAATAAATTTATGCGATTCTAATCTTTTAACATATATTACTAAATCATTAAAAGCTTTAGTTACTAGTTTGAAACTAAAATCTTTGCGTCTGTATTAGAGAATAATCTGAATAAAATAGTCATATGAATTATGGTGCATAACTAATAAGAATATGCATAATAAAAGCTTCAACTATAATACATAAATGTAGCATCCTCTACGGCATCATACAATGATTTGACAAATATCTAAATAGTTTCTAAGAGTTATATACTGCTAATGTTTGACAATTTTTACACTCTACACACATACATGTACTCAGTGAAAGCAACAAAAATATCTTTGTATTAGCTTTATATATAACATCGGAAGCAAACAAAAGCGAACACAAATGTTTGATGGTAGAAAACTATGTGATGTAGGTGTTTTATGACTAAACAACCCAAGTATGACTCTGAAAAGGTTCTTCCCTGTGATTCTAAATCCGACTGTATGGTTTTTAATTTTTTTACTTCGGTTTTAGTTTCGACACCCAAAAACTTCGACAATTTATTACCGATAACTAGTGGCCTATCACATACTTAGTACTTGGTTTGCTTAGAAATCAAAAACGACTAGTCTCGCCAATGACAATGTACTTTAATGCATGTTTTCCATTAGGAATTTAACTGACTACGGCTTTTATAATACAATAGAACAAGCTGCACACAATCATACCTTCATTCACAATATTCTCCAATCGATGAAACACGGCAAAATCCATTTCTTCAGCTTCTTCAGGAAGGATAAGAGAGACTTTGGTAATCGATGAACTCACATTCATTTCAGGAATGTTACTTGATTGTATTTGAAACAGTTGCTCAAACACATATTGAAATCTTTGAGCCATTTCTGAAATAGTTGATTTTTCAAACAGATCACGTGAACAAACAAAAGAACAACACAACTGATTATTATCTGATGATGGGTTGTATACAAATGTTAGTGAGAAGTCAAATTTAGACATTTCAAGTGATTGTTCTAATGATATTTGTTCTAAATTTGCACCACTGAAACATAAATGTTCGACATCTTTCGACACAGTGATAAAATCAAGCATTATGTCAAGAAATGATACATTCGAGTGCTTAAATCGATTGTCATCAAGAATATGTTGCAAAGGATAATGAGAATGTTCAAGAATTGATAAACATTTCTCTTGTACATATTTGACAAGATCATCAAATGACAAATGAGGATCAAGTTGAATACGATATGGCAATGTTGAAATAAACATTCCAATTAGATTTTGTAGTTCATTTCGATATCGATTGGCATTAATAGAACCAATACATAGATCAGTCTCACCATGAGTTAATTTGAATAGGAAGACATAAAATATGGATAATCCAAGTTGAAAATATGTGAGATGATGTGATGATGCATAGTTGAGAAATGATGTGCATATTTCATTATCAAAAGTGATTTCAGCTATGGATGCTAAACCTGATCGTTGTTGATTAGTTGATGAATGTTGTCGATCAACTGGTAATGATAATGAACATTCCATATTGTATCTTTCAAGTTGAGAATGCCAGAATTCACGAGATAATGACATATCCATGATATGTTCATGAACAGAATAATCGGTGTAATTCAATAAGTTATCATCTACAGATAATGACTCATCGGTTTGATAAGCAAGAGAAAGATCACGAAGAAAGATTGATGTTGATGCTCCATCAAACGTTGCATGATGAATACTAATCAATATGTGATCATTTCCAGTCAACAGATCATCATTCTCATATAAAGTATTACTTTGAGAATATTGAGAATGACGTAGAATATGACAACGAATAACACGTCCTTTTGATAAATCGAATAAATCAGGCTGATTTAATATTGCTTCGATAGTTTCAGTCATATGACGATGACCATCATTATGAACATTAACGATTGACAACCCATATGATTTCATATCATCGTCGAGAACGGTATATGCATCTAAACAGTGTTGTATAATATTACCATTTGTATCATCAAGATAAAGTGCTGTTCGAAGAATATTATGTTTTGTGATAACATTTTGATATGCATGGTGTAATCGAGTAATTGATACATGATCATTCATAGATGCTATACGATAGAGTAATGGAATAACATACATATTATTCATTGTTGTTTTGTTAGATGAAAAACGAATTTGTTCATCTAAATAGATTCGTTCTTGTGCGAATGATGCTCTAGCTAAAATGAGAACAAAAAAGATAAATATGTAGTTAACAATGATATCTAGTACAAATTGTTGTGTTTACCTTGAATGAGATGTAATGAAGACCAAGGATAATCGTCTAGAGTGTGGACGGTATTGATAGATTGTTGAATGAGTTGAGCATGATGAACAATTGTTGGATGTTGAAATAGATTAGAAATGGAAAGAGTATTTGTTTCCAAATGAAACTCGATCTTGTATCGATGAAAAAGTTGCATAATAAGTAATGAATGACCACCAATAGTAAATATATTTGTATCAGCTGAGATTTGATTTAGTTTGAATATCTCACACCAAATATGATGAATACTAACTTCAATATCATTTGTTGGTGATAATAGTTCTGTACTGTTAGTGAGATGTATTGATGAGAAGTCAGGTGGTGGAAGGACTTTTCGATCTATTTTTCCATTTTGATTCAAAGGTAATTTATCAAGAATAGTAAAGAAAGATGGAATCATATGTGGTGGAAGATGAGATTGACAATGTTCATGCAGTACCTGCTCATTAATATCAGAACTTTGAACATAAGCAACTAGATGATCATCGTTCCATTTCATGACAACACAAGCAGGGATGGATGTAATATTAAGTAAACATCGTTCTATTTCACCAAGTTCGATTCGTTGTCCATGTAATTTCACCTGATGATCTTTTCTTCCTTGATAATGAAGAAGACCACCGTTGTCCATTGTAACAAGATCACCTGTTCGATAAAATAGTTGACCATCTATTTCAAGAAGAGCTTTTGCAGTCAAATCATCACGTTCAAGATAACCAGCAAATACACCCACTCCTCCTACAAACAGTTCACCTTCTTGAGCGGTGATAGATGATTGTAAATACTGATTCATAATCATACATCGATAACTGGGTAGCGGGCCTCCAATTGGGATATTGATCATATTCAAATCTCTACCTATAACATAACCTGTGCAATCGACAGTTGTTTCTGCAGGTCCATAGGTGTTCCATACAGAACAATCTTGTGGCAAATAGGTATACAACTTATCAATAAGTTCAACTGTGCTTTTTTCTCCTAAAAAAATTGATTAAAATGCTTATTCTAGTTAAAATATTTTCCTTACCACCAATATCAACAGAACGTAAAGTGCTCAAATTTGAAACTTTATTCTTTTCTACATACTCTGACATATTGTTAACATATGCTGGAACACTTTGTAGATATGAAATTTCTTTTTCATTTAACACCTTGATCACGTATTCAATATCCATATTTCCTTCGGAATGAAGCATTATAATGCTAGCACCAACAGTCAATGCTCCTATAATTTCTTGAACATGTACATCATACGAACAACTTGCCATTTGTATCATATTATTTTTGTTTGAGAACAACTTTATATAAACTAGAGACTTAATACATGCCATCAGATTTCGATGGCGAATTTGTACCTAAAGAACAATACACTAATAAAGATGATTGATTTAAGAAGATATTAACATACTCCTTTGGGTATTCCAGTGGATCCACTTGTAAAAACAATGTAGGCAATATTCTCTGATGTTACTACAATATCAGACAATCGGTCCACATCAACAATATATTCTCTACTTTGGTTCCCTAGAATCAAATCGATAATAAATGAGCTAATGTCATCACTAAATTTCGTTTTTGTCCCATAATCAGCAAGGACAAAACGACTTCGTGTTTGTTGTGTGAGTGCATACAAACGATGTTGTGGATCTCGAGGTGACAATGGACAATAGACACCACCAGCCATTTCAATTCCCATAATACCAATCACCTGGTTCAAACAAATTTTTTATTGCCTCAAACAATTATTTCTACTGATCAACTTACCATTGACAAACTTCGCTCAACACATTGACAAACTATTTCACCTGGAAGAACATGATATTCATTGAGAAGAGTGAAAGATAATATTTGTACATAATATAGAAGTTCACAATATGTCAATGATTGTTCGTCTAGTTCAACAGCTAGTTTTTGTGGATGTTTCATTACTTGATATACAAATTCATGATGAATACAAGTGAGTGGAGATGAAAATGATATTTGCATATTATTTATTGATTGCATTAAATATCGTTCATTTGATAACACTAATGATAATTCATAGATGGGCTTGTTTATTTGGCTGTCGATAATAGATGTAGATAATTGATGTAAGATGAAATGAAATCGTTGTGAAATCTTCTCCACTGTGTTTCTATTGAACAAGTCAAGTGATGCATTGATTGTGCATGACAGTTGATTGATGTTCAAATCATGACAAATAGAAAGAGAGAAGTCGGATACACTTAGTATTTCATCTTCATTGATATTGAATGAAGAAGATGCTGGAATTATTTGAGAATCACCAATCATAACTATATTATTATTCTTGTATGATATAAATTCTAGAGAGGTGTCCAAAAATGCATGTTTAGAAATAAGTGGATGTTGATTGAGAATATGTTGAAGTGGAAAATATGAATATTTCATACTATATGTTGTTATCTCTTGAACATGTTTGAGTAATTGATGAAAACACCAATGAGGTTCCAATTTGCATCGTAATGGAATGACATTCTCAAACAGTCCAATGATTGATTTGAGTTCATCTCTATATCGATTATTATTGATGTTCATAGCAATACATAAATTTGTTTGTCCATTAGTTAACTTAAATAGAAAGATGAAATAAATAGCAAATGTGAGATGTTCAAGTGATGTGCTATTTGATGATGCATGAATGAGAATGTCATGTGAGAGATCTTGACCAAAATCAAAAGAAAGAGATGTTCTCCGACCAGTGAGATGTTCCATGGAGAGACGATACCGATCAAATGGTAATGATAAAGGTTGATCGAGTTTACAATCATGAAGAGCATCAAACCAAAACATACTTGCATCAGTCATTGACATTTTTTGTTCAATAACAGCATCTATTATATAATTAAACAAATGAATGTAGTAGAAAAAAGATAAGAACTAATTATATTTACAATCAAGATAACGAAGATTAGTGGTGTCATCGTACAATAATTGACCTGTTGTATATGCTTGATTGAGATCACGAAGAAATATATTCATTGATGGAAAATCAAACAAAGCATGATGAAAATTGAAGATAATTAGGTCTTTGTGAGAAAGAAGATGATTTGAAGAGATTTGTTTGTAATAAACAAGATGACATCGAAAGACAAGACCTTGAGCAGCATCAAAAAATTGAGGATTACATTTTTCTTTATGTATGATATCATTGAGTTGTTCTTGTGTTTCGTAAGTGTTTTCAATAAATGTAAATAGTTGACCATTATTATCGTTCATATCAATAATTCGTTGCAAGTGTCGCTTGTTTTCTGCATAAAATATGAGTGATGTTCGAAGAGATTGATGTTTTGTGACTATTAGTTGAAGAGCTTGACGAAGATGTTGTACCGATAAAGTATGGTGCGAGTCGAGAGAATAAACAAAAGGCATGTTGTAGATTGGTATTTGTGATATGTGAGGAGTGAAATGAACACATTCATTATGCCATAGTCGAATTTGTGCAAATGATGTTGGTGCTATATAAAAGAGAAGACAATCAAATATGATTAATAATATTGCTTGTGAAATCTATTGAGAGTTAGACAAAAGTTCCATCGGTCACATAAATCCGTAATGTAAGCGAAAAAATGATGCTTGAGTCACAAACGCTAGTTTTCAAAATGAAAAGAACACAAATGGTAGGAGATTTTACTCTATGACATTGTCATCTACAGGAAAACCATCTGAAATAATGGATTCATTTTGGTATATATGACAAAAATCTTGAGGATGGGTGTGGGTATAGGTATGTCTCTCAATAAAAAATCCACGTTCCCATCCACCCATAGTCACACACTCACCATATGACTGAGCACCGCTTCTCAGATAATCCGAACAATACAAAAACATATCCTCGATGATATTTCTGTACAATGCATTCATTCTCAATATTAATGTTCATTAAGGAAAACTCTATGTTTAGATAAACATACCTTCGTTTATAATATGCGATTGTCGACAAAACATAATATTTTCCATTTCTTGAGTTTCTTCTGGTAGAATAAGATTAATTTTCGATATACATGTAAAACATGTATCAATTCGAGTGATAGTTTGATTGAATGAAAAAAGTTGTAGAAAACAGTATTCTAATCTTCGACCTATATTTGTAACTGTAATCTCATCAAATAAATCATGTGAACAAGTTAAATGAAATGATAATCTATTATTTTCCAATGTTGGATTATAGACAAACATTAACATAAAATCAAACTTAGCCACTTCAAACGATTGCTCAAAGGACACTTGTTTGAATCTTGTTCCATCTAAAGATAATTCATCGCTTTGTGATGATATAGTAATGAAGTCATACATCGTTTCAAGAAATGAAATATTTGGTTGATTAATATGTGAACTAGCAAGAATATGCTGTAATGGATAATGTGAATGTTCAAGAATTGATAAACATTTCTCTCGTACATATTCAACAAGTTCATCAAATGACCAATGAGGATTGAGTTGAATACGATAGGGCAATATTGAAACAAACATTCCTATTATATTCTGCAGTTCAGTTTTGTGTCGATTAGCATTCAGACAAGAAATGCATATATCATTTTCACCATGAGTCAACTTGAAAAGAAAAGCATATAACATAGTTAGGCCTAACTGAAATGGTGTCACATGATGTATAGAAGCATAATCAAAAAATGATTGTGAAATCTCGTTGTCAAAAGAAATTTGAGTGACAGAAGCAGAACTTGATCGATGGTCATTAGACAAACGATGTCGATCAACTGGTAATGATAATCGAGAGTCGAAACTGTATCCTTCTAATTGTAAATCCCAAAATTCACGAGATGTTATCATATCAATTAGACGTTCATGAATACTGTAATCAGTATATTGCAATGATTCATCATCGTCTTCTATTGATATTGCATTAGTATTATAAGCGAAACATAGATCATTGAAAAAGATCGGAAAACTTGCTCGGTCAGATGCAACATGATGAAAAGCAATGAGGAGAACATCAGAATTAGTTATGAACTCTTTACTATTGTTTCCATTTAATGATATCTGATGTCGCAGAATTTCAGCATGAAAAACACGACCAGTTGATAAATCGAAGAGATTAGGATTAATAGTTGTTTGATAAATAATATCTCGAAGTTCATTGTCATTTCCAAATGTTTGATTCATAGTTATTGTGAATGTTTTATGTATATCTGTGATGCATTGCTTCAGAGTACCATCATTATTGTTAAATATAAGAGATGTACGTAATATTTTATGTTTATTCAGAACATATCGAAATGCTTGTAATAAACGATTTAATGATAATGATCCTTGAACAACTTGTAAAGTCGACAATTCATTATAGATAGCAATATCACTCGAAAAACGAACTTGTTGATCAAGAAAGATACGTTCTTGAGCAAAAGAGGCGATACCTGTTAGTTAAATGATAGAATTTTATAAAAAACTGCTTTAACAATTTCTTAGTAAACACGTTTACCTTCATTTATATGTAACGTATGCCATTGTGTTGTCTGAATACTATTCATACTAACTGCTTGAAGTAACTGTGAATGTTGAAATATAGTTGGTTGTTGAAGAAATGGCGTAATCGAAAGTGTATGCGCATCAAAGTTAAATACTGATTGATAATGATGATAAAGTTGAATAAATAACAGTGAATGACCACCAATACTAAAAAAACTGGTAGTTCTAGAAATGTGATTGTCATTACAATGAAGAACGTGACACCAAATAGTGTGTATATGTTCTTCGAACTGATTAAGAAGGGTATCAGATTTATCGGAAGATAACAAAGTCGATGAAGAAAAGTCAGGTGAAGGAAGTTGCTTTCTGTCTACTTTTCCATTTGGATTCAAAGGTAGCTTCTCAAGTATAATAAATATTGATGGAATCATATGTGGTGGAAGATGAGATTGACAATGTTGACGTAGTTCTTCTTCATTCACATGAGATGATTGAACATATGCAACTAAATAATCATCCTTCCATTTCATGACAATACAAGCAGATATAGATGTGATGTTAAGTAAACATCGTTCGATTTCACCAAGTTCAATTCGTTGTCCATGTAATTTAATTTGAAAATCTTTTCGACCGTTACAATAAAGAAGTCCGTTATGATCCATTCTAATAAGATCACCTGTTCGATAGAATAATTCGCCATCGACTTCTATGAGTGCTCTATTTGTCAAATCATCACGTTCAAGATAACCAGCGAAAACACCTACGCCTCCTATAAATAATTCGCCTTCTTGATTAATAACGACAAACTGTAAGAAATTATTCAATAGCAAATATCGATAATTAGGCAATGGACGTCCTATTGAAATACTCTCTGCATTAACTTTAATGTCTACGGGATAAAAAGTGCAAGTAACCGTAGTTTCTGTTAAACCATACCAATTCCAAAAGATAAAATATTGTGTAGGATCATTGAGTATTAAATTGACTAATTTCATAGAACATGGCTCACCTAAAAAGTAAGAGAACATCATAAAAGATTCTATAATTTATATGATGATTACTTACCGATAGTACAAAGTGATCTAAGATATTTTATGAAATGTAAATAATTATTCTGTTTAAGAAAAGTAAAAAGGTTGCGAAGTAAACTTGGTACAGAGTGCATATAAGTAACTTGTTTGTTTTTCATAATTTCAGCAAGATAGTTCAATTCAACAGTTCCTCTTGGATGCAGCATGATTATTGTAGCTCCAATTATCAATGAACCAATAATTTCTTGAACATGATTGTCAAATGAACACCTTGCCATTTGAATCACTGTATCATTGTTAGTAAATGAATCAATACACATTAAAGAATAGATACATTGAATAAAATTTCTATGTCGAACTCGAACCTATAAACAAACAGATCATCATATACTATAAATATATAATCTCCTTCATTGGTAAATAATGTATCAATAGAAATTTAAACCGATTGAATTTTCTTAGAAAATTAATGAAAACAATAAAAAGTTAATCTTTATCTCATATAACTCATTTATTTCCTTTATTATGTGTTAGTTGTATAGCTAATTCAATGCTCACCCCTTTCGGCATTCCTGTCGAACCACTTGTAAATATAATGTAGGCTATGCTATCGATAGTCACATGAACGGATGATAATTGATCAATATTAAAATGTTGAAATAAATTATTATTGATCAGTATAGAATCAATGTCTAATATAGTGATAGTATCATTAAATTTATTTCTTGTCACATAATGAGAAAGAACAAGACGACTTTGTGTTTGTTGCAAAAGCATACGCAAACGACTTTCTGGATTCCGAAATGACAGTGGAAAATATACACCACCAGCCATCTCAATTGCTATAATACCAATGACCTAATAAATATCAATATTTTACATACGGTATATATTTATTTTAGCTATTAACTTACCATAGATAGACTTCGTTCCACACATTGCGAGATAACGTCACTTGGGATGATACCATATTGATCTAAAAGATGGACAGCTATCATCTTGGCATAAGCAAAAAGCTCAGCATATGTCAAAGATTGTTCATCCAGTTCAACAGCTAGTTTTTGTGGATGTTTCAGTACTTGATATACAAATTCATGATGAATACAAGTAAGAGGAGATGATGAAAATGATATTTGCGTATTATTCAGTGACTGCATTAAATATCGTTCATTTGATAATAATATTGATAATTCGTAGATTGGTTTGTTTATTTGACTGTCGATAATAGATGCAGATAGTTGATTCAAGATGAAATGAAATCGTTGTGAAATCTTCTCTACCGTTTCTCGATTGAATAAGTCAAGTGACGCATTGATTGTACATGATAATTCATTTAGATTGGAATCATGATAAATAGAAAGAGAGAAGTCGGATATACTTAATATCTCATCTTCATTGATATGGCATGAGAAAGATGCTGGCACAAGTTGAGAATCACCAATCATAACTGCATTGTTGTCGTTGTTGCTCTTGTATGATATGAATTCCAAAGATGTATCCAAAAATGCATGTTTTGAAATATGTGGATGTTGATTGAGAATACGTTGAAGTGGAAAATATGAATACTTCATACTCTTTGTTGTTATCTCTTGAACATGTTCGAGTACTTGATGAAAACACCAATGTGGATCTAATTGACATCGTAAAGGAATGATATTCTCAAACAATCCAATGATTGATTTGAGTACATCTCTGTATCGATTATTATTAATATTCATAGCTAGACATAGATCTGATTGTCCATTGGTTAATTTGAATAGAAAGATGAAATAAACAGCAAATGTGAGATGTTCAAGTGAGATGTTGTTTAATGATGCATGGATCAGAAAGTGATGTGATAGATCTTGACCAAAATCAAAAGAAATGGATATTCCACGACCAGTTCGATGTTCATTTGAGAGACGATATCGATCAGATGGTAACGATAATGGTTGATCGAGTTTACAATCATGAAGAGCATCAAGCCAAAACATACTTGCACCAGTCATTGACATTTGTTGTTCAATAACAGCGTCTACATAGTGAAAGAAAATAGTGTATTAGTAAATAAAGAAGTAGAAGTAGTATTTATATTTACAATCGAGATAACGTAGATGAGTGTTGTCATCATATAATAATTGACCTGTTGTATATGCTTGATTGAGATCATGAAGAAAGATATTCATTGATGGATAATCAAATAAAGCATGATGAAAATTGAAAATGAGTACATCTTGATCAGAAAGTAAATCATTTGAAGAGATTTGTTTATAATAAACAAGATGGCATTGAAAAACGGGGCCCTTTGCAAGATCTAAAAGTCGAGGATTATATTTTTCTTCATGCATTATATCATTGAGTTGCTCTTGTGTTTCGTAAGTGTGTTTGATGAATGTATATAATATATAATTATCGTCATCGATGCCAGCAATTCGTTGCATAAATGAATTCTTTTCTGCATCAAAGTTAAGTAATGTACGAAATGATTGATGTTTTTTAACAATTAGCTGAAGAGCCTGTCGAAGTTGTTGTATTGATAAAATATGTCCTTTAGTAAGACAGTAGAGAAAAGGCATATTATAGATTGCTACTTGAGGCTTGTCTGGATCAAATCGAACTCGTTCATCGGACAAAATGCGAGCTTGTGCATATGATGCTGGTGCTGAAATTAATAATGAGATATTAATCAGACATAACTGAAGTTATGATTATATGGTTCGGTAATCCTGATGGCTGATAATGAAAGAATTCTAGTGAGTCAACTGGAATGATGCGTAAAACATATAAGAAGTTGCAGAAAAAATCGAAAACCAGCTAACATAAGTTTGGAAGACCACAAACACTTTCAGATCAGGCTATTACAAATTATTTATACTAACAATATCTTTAAAATTTAACATCGGTTTCAAAGTATAAATTGGATTAGAAGTATTAATATTTAGTATACTAGTTTCTATAAGAATTTATGGAAGACAAGGAAGAAAGCTATTAACGCAATCTCTGAATCTAAAATGTAAAACACAAAATCACTGTGATTACTAATAGGAAAATATCTTTAATAAATAAGTTGAAATCTATCTTGATTAAGATTATCAATCTCTTCGAGTCATGAGGCCTGCTTAAATTAAAACGCGTACGTTCCACGGATCGTTTCAATTCACTTATTAACTAATGATTTTTATGAATCGATTTTGAGATATATTCACTAAATTTCATATTTTAGACTGTGCTCGTTATAGTATCGATCATATCTGTGGAGAAAAGGGAGATCGCTTGTAGTACGTGGTATATAGAAAAGAAGGAAGTAGAGAAACTTGATAGACAACCAACACACAATAATATATGG